CACAGGTTTCATCTATCAGAAAGCAACTGCTTATTGAGTTAAAACATAGCAATAGATTACCCAAAATCATAATCAAATCAATTTAATATATAGCTATATAAACATCCTCAGCCTATGAACAAACAGTATGGAATGGACAATGAATATAAGTTATACAGAATACCTAATTATTAATTGAAGAAGTAAAGATAAAAATATTTCTAAAATATGTAGTAAATCATGATATTAGCAATTGTAACTAACATAATATGAATGCCATAAAATTTGGATTGACTCTTTGGAAAAATGTCAATTAGCAAAATTTAGAATTTAAGTTATTCAGTGATACATAAAAGGCAAGACATGTGGCTTTCATTCAGAAAGCACTATTTTATATCACAGGTACTTTGTCTGGTTAGGGGATTTGTAAATGCTCAGAAACTAAAGTGCTTTCTGTGCAAGCATGAGGAACTGAGTTTAATCCACATTTCCTATATATACTCTCTCAGGCTAGACACATGGGGGAGGGCCTAGGCCCTACTCTAAATGACATGACAGACTTTAAAGATCCCCAGTGGAAGGCCTCACCCTCCCGTGAGAGCAAAAGGGGGATGGGATAGGAGTCAATGGGGGCAGGGGAGAAGGGGAAAGAGAGGGAACTGGAATTGACATGTAAACAAGTTTGTTTCTAATTTAAAGAAAAAAGAAAAAACTAAAATAAAAAATCTGGGTGTGATAGCTCACATCCGTGATTGTGGCATGCAGACACAGGCACAGGTTGATGCCTGGAGCTTTCTAGACAGCTTAGTTGAATCTGGGAACTTCAAATTCAGGGGGAGGCTATGACTCAAAAATAAAGGTGAAAAAGTGATTGAAGATGACACTTGATGTCAATCTCTTGCCTCCACACACAGTCCTACACATATGCATGAATCCACAGGCATGGGCACAAATGTACACATACACATACACATAAGTGAATAAATAAGTAAATTTGTCAGGATGACTAAGCTTTTATTATGTAAAAGTAAGAAAGGATCAAATAGATTATTGTGAATAAAGGGGTACAGCTGCTGTAAGAAATTACAAAATAAAACATGTCTCAAGCTTTCGTCAATTTAATTCTCACCTTATACCTCTTTTATTCTTTTTCTTTGGCATAAATCCTTGAGTTAAATTTTACATGTGATAAACTTTTAAACATATAAGCATGCATATTAATATTTCCTTGATACTTGGATAGGTTGTTGATTTATTTTTGTGTGTACTGTAAATTTATAGTACGTCAAAAGTTCAAACATTTTAATTATAAGTAGAATACAGAAAAGTGTTTGCACAGAAAACTGAGTGCATGGTTTTCCTTACTGTGCTTCTGGCATAGGCAAGACTTGATAGATAATCATCTTGATCATTTCATTTGTTACAATTAAACAATGAAGTGCATCAGTAGAAGTAATCATGAGATAATCACATCCTGGTGTAATTAGCAGGTATAGGACACAGCCAAGTATCTCTAATGTCTTGGAGTGTGATTATAATATGATAGCTGTACCCAGTAGGTTGCCTAATTTCCATTGTAGAAATATGTAGTTTTTGGTAATGAGGTTATTTTAAAAATTAACATTTCTTTTTCTGAGTAGTGATCATTTGGGATATTCAACAAATTTGATACACAGTTTTCCCTCCATATTCCATAGTCTTGCTTCTGTATTCTTGTCTTTGTCAATATCCAAAGATTTAATGATAAAAAGTAAGTAGCAAATCAATCTTATCTGAATATTTCTTAATGTGTCAAGATTAAAAGTCAATAGAAAAATAATAACCAAGCAGTAACTGGATATTTGTTTTGTTATTTTAGTTCTGAAATTTCAGACAAATAGTTCTTCTCCCAATATAGATAGCTGTCAGCCTTTTATTGGCCTGACATGGCTGAGTTGTTTCTCTTCACCCTAAGAAGTACAAGGTTACTTATCAGAAAAAAATTAAATAATAGTGATATGCTTGTTGTTACATCTTGTGTGTGCTAATGGCTCAATCACTTTCTTGGAACCACCTAATCAATTTGGATACTTTGTGGTGCCTCTGTCTAAATCAAAAGACAAATTGGCCAATGTGATATCCCCTTTGTTTGTCTTCCAGTGATGCACTTGCAAAGCAAAGACTTGTAGGGTACAACAGGGACCACTGAACATCATCAAGAGATGTGGTTGTTTTGTAATTATTATTAGTGTATGTGTGTGGGGGTGGGTGGGTGGGTGGTGGCTTAGGGTGTCTGAGAAATGCAGAATCCAATAACGACCACAATGTTTTTTTGTTTTTTTTTTATCTTTGTTTCTCAGTGCAACAGTGACTATGTGCCTGTGTGTGGCTCCAATGGAGAGAGCTACCAGAATGAGTGCTACCTGAGGCAGGCTGCCTGCAAGCAGCAGAGTGAGATACTTGTGATCTCAGAAGGATCCTGTGCAACAGGTATGCACAAGTGTCCCTGAAACCCAAATGGATTGTGAGCCCATCGGCTTCTTGTTTCCTGTTAGCTCTGATAACCAACCTGTCTATACATTGACTAGGGTTTCCATTTACTATTTGCTAAGTAAAGCCTTACTTTATTTTTTACTTTATGTCTTTAAAAAAAGAGAAAATGTATTGTATGACAACTGGTATCTTTAAATACATATGTTGTTTACTGAAGTACAGACAGTTGAATAAAATGTAATTAGAAATCTGCATTCAAGTGCCCACATATAAAATTTATAGATGAAGTTTTGTTTGAAGGTTCCTTTGAGAAACCATCTTCTAGAGTGCATCTTTGCAGGTTTGAGTTCTGAAGTTAACACACATTTTTGTAAAGGCACTAATGTTAGATTTTAACTCTAAAATGTACTGGTTACCATTTAGCAGATCATACTGAAGAATTCATTGGCAATTCACATTGCCAATTAGTTTGCACTAATATCTGTCTTTCTGACACAGTTCAACTCAAATTCTTCAGAGCTCTTTAGTTATATTGTTCTAAGAATGTTGGAAGGAAAGGAAGGAAGGAAGGAAGGAAGGAAGGAAGGAAGGAAGGACATGAGCTTCTTAGCTTTTCAGGGTTACATGTTTTAGTTTGTTTGATTACTTTTTTCCTGCTTCTTTTCCTTTTTTCTTCTCTGTTCTATCTATCTATCTATCTATCTATCTATCTATCTATCTATC